GAGAGAGAGAGAGAGAGAGAGAGAGAGAGAGAGAGAGAGAGAGAGAGAGAGAGAGAGAGAGAGAGAGAGAGAGAACGCGTGCCACATGCCACACGTCCGCCTTCTCATCCCCTACCTCTCAAAATCTTTTCTCCCACTCCCATGTCGTGTTTTTTTATTTTCATTTTCTTTTTTCAAACGGCTTCACGGCCGTTTAGGTGCATCCCCAGCCCCCCGTGAATTCCTCCTCTCTTCTCCTCCTGCCATCTTCTTGCTTCCCTCCGGCCATCTCTTTCAACCTCCTGCTCCCACGTGTAGGCAATGCACTGCAGCCAAAACACCATCCCCTTGCACCCTGCAAAGACCCAGGAAGGGCAGTCACTGTTTTCCAGTTTGAGAGTGGATTCTGCATCCTCTCAACGACCGCAGAACGGCCATGCCCTGACCGAAAAAAGTTAAAGAAATTCAAGCCATTTTCTGGCCTGCCTGGGTTACCCAGGCGAACCCTGGGCCCTGTGCCGATCTGGGCATGCCTTGCCGGGCGGACAAATACCCTAGGCCCGGAACAAATGGAGAAAAAAGGCACAAAACGTGAACAGTGGGCAATTGAAACTAAGCAGGTACGATAGACAACAACAAACTTTGAAACGCAAGCAAGGAATGTCGAGTAATAGGTGGCTGAGTATGCTGTTTTCTAGCTTATGGTGGTGGAACATGTTGTTGTGTCTGTTTCAACTTTGAATCGTCATGTTAGCAGTGTTACTGAATTCAAGCATATGGCGAAAAAAATTGAAGCTGAATGGTAAGCATAAATGCAGAAATCCTCCCTGATTTTGCAGTTCGTATCCCGTCAATGATTTCTTTATGTCAAATGACTCCAAACAGAAGCGTTTTTCAAGTGGATTTTTTTCTAGAAATTAAGGAAGTGAGAAAATAAAATCTTTTTGTCCCTTGGGGCCATCTGTTATCATTGGAACAATAGAGAGAAAGTTAGCATGGAGCCTGCGCAAGGATGACACGCATAAATTGAGAAATGGTTCAAAAATAAGAGAAAAAAACAAAATCTTTTTTATTCACCTTTAGGGAGTGGAGTTGCCATCCCCACTTTTTTTATTATTTATTTATTATTATTATTATTATTTTTAATAAAACGCCCCCGCCAGTGTTAGTGGTGCGGATAAAAGCAGACACCACCAGCACCTGGGGAGAGGCTACATCTATTGATGGGGAGCAGCACCTGCTGGAAAACAGGTCCAGCGTCCCATATACAAAATGAGGTTGGAACGTATCAAAACAGGATTGTGTGAAGTTCCTGCCAGCATTGATTACCCTGGGATCCAGGGGATTGACTGAGCAGGCTATTGGAGAGAGGGGAAACTCTTCGCCCTGAACCCGACGCCAGATCCCTGCTGCTACACACTAGTTCCTCCCTCCCCCTACTAATGAATACTTTGGAGACCAGGGTAGTAACTGAGCAGAAAATCAGACAATTTGTAGAAATGATCTCATCCTTATCCATAGATGACCTTTTTTAGGCACCCGCATACCACAGAGTCTCGACCATTGAGTTCGCAGCCGGCAAGAAGTGATCAGGAAAATCTGAAAGAGGCCGCAACGGGATGGAGGGGTCAATTCTAGTCCAATCATGAAAGTGGAGGTGAAAGTCCCTTTCGTGACAAATCTGAAGTCCAGGCCGCCGTCTGTCCTACCGGCCCACGGCCCAGATCGACCGAACGATGTAACAAATCTGCCATCTGGGCCGTCGGGTCCTACCAGACCGACGACTTGGATGATGCGGTCTTAAGATCTTAAGATCGCACATCAATCCAGGCCGTTGGCCCGGTACTCTGGGCCCGACGGCCCGGATTATTTGCCTGTTGGAGAGGGCCTCGGTACCTACCGGTGGTTTCTTGGCGCGGCACCTACCGGTGGGGTTTTGTGTTCGATCAAACGGGTTCCAAACTTCCCATAATCTGCCGGTGTTGTAACATCTTTTTCGTTGCGGCATGTACTGTTTTTGAGTGGGGGTGTGCCTTTTGGTGGCGGCATGGGCAAATTCTACGGCGTGTGAAAGAACCACCGCTATGCTACTCTACTCTGTACTATAGACTTCTACTTTCCTCTCCTATGCTACTACGCTCGACTTTGACTTTACTACTCTACACTACACTACCACGCTCGGTTTCGACTTGGTATGTGGATGCCCACACACACACACACTACATCCGGGCAGACTGTCGAGGTTGAACCCCTGATGAGTCGGTGGACGTCTGACGAAACAGCCTCGCTTAGTCATGCCCACGCGCGCGCCCGCGGGAGAGAGAGAGAGAAACACACCCAGACTTAACACACACTACACTTTTTAACTCACAGACATACACAAACTTTGTAACTCACACACATACACAAACACACCCAGACCGAACACACACTACGCTTTTTTACATGCCGGAGGTTGAGCTCCGCATCCTCAAGATTGGAGGCTGACTGACAGTGAGTTAAACTCCACTTTGTTATTGATGTCTGTTGCTTTCGTTTCTCTGTTCGCTTCAAACTACGAGCATATGTGTGTGTGTGTGTGTGTGTGTGTGTGTGTGTGTGTGTGTGTGTGTGTGTGTGTGCGC